GTTAGTTTTCACATTAAATTTAAACTACAATGCACTCAACAAGAACTTGATATATGAACTGTTTTATTTTATAACTCTCTCATTTACAAGATGAAATATTTGATACAAAGTGCTGATCAAGACTGAAACTTCGACGTGCTCAAGCTAGATGGCTTGTAAGTTCTAGTTTCCATTCTCTTTGTTTCATTTACAATATACAGTGGTGCCTCATATAATGTACGCCTCGAATAACGGACGCTGTGAAGAACGGACTTTCTGTTTGGCCGTTACGTGACTCAAGCAACAGACTGGCTGCGAACAACAGACTTTCTGTTCGGCAGTTACGTGAGGCGAACAACAAACTTTCTGCGAACAAGTGCGAATGATGTTTTCACTCTTTTGCTGTTGCCAATGACAATCTGCTATTTTTATAATATATTATTAGTATATCTGAAGTACAGATATCCTGTTGGAATTCGGTTACGAATCCCAACGGGATTCTGTTGTTCATTACGTACATCACCTCAGTGCAGGGTATTTACATTTAGTCACGTGTTATGCAAATCATAGCTTCTAAAAAACAGAAAGGTGATTTCAATTGAAACAAAGCAAGAAATCATCAGAAAGAGTGAAAGTTGACAAAAACTTCCTTGTCAAATGGGGAGAGGGTCAGGAGTTTACCAACACTCATTATCTAAGCAGAGCTGAGGCCAACAGGATCAATGATCTCTACAATGATACCCTTGCCCGTCATTTCTGACAGGTCTTGAAGAAGAGTGAAAAACAGACCACCTTGGACATGTTTTTTAAGAAGCCAGCAGGCAAAAAACAAAGGATGGAACAAGAGGAGTTGACCCTGCAAGCTCGGGTAGCCTCTCCTGAATCTGACTCCGATTAAAAAATAATAAAAAGAGACCTGCTGCAATGTGTAAAAAGTCTGTATCTGTATGAATATGTGAAGAAAGTGTTCCTCCACCTCCTCTTCACAACATCTGACTACCCAGCATAATTGGTGACTGTTCCATTTTCATTTTTTTTTATGGTGCAGTATGGTTATTTTATGCTGCGGAACAAATTATATGCTTTAACATGTATTTCTATGGGAAAATGCATTTCGTATAACGGACTTTTCACTTAACGGACGTGCACCTGGAATGGATTAAGTACGTTATACGAGGCACCACTGTACTTATTTTACTTGTTTTCTACTTACTTATTGCCTTAACTAATTATTGTTTTCATCACACTAAATAAAGAAATACCTAATAACTTATGTATTTGCTTCTCTTATGTCACATTCACTTCATTTCATAATAACTTCTTTGTATCTGTGAATAACTTAATCAATACTTTCAATTTATTTTACTTCATTTAGAATCACTGGTTAATAGTCAGTTAGGTGTTTTGTAGTACTTTAATATTACAGTACAGTCCTGGAAACTTGACTCTCAATAACTTGACATTCTGTAAAACTCATCATATCATTCAAAAAGAAAAAAATACATGTAATCTAATTTTTACCTCTATAACTTAGGTAAATAAGTTATCATTCTTCACTGGCAACACTTTGATAATAGCATTAATTCCACATGTTAATGAAGAATATAACCCTTTTTCCAAGGTGCCATTTGCAAACAAGATGATGCAAATGTCACTAACTTGAAAGTAGCCACTGAATCGCCAATATTTTTAAAATTAAAATTTAACTACAAATAGAAATAGTCACTATTGGTATCTAGTTAATATGTATATGAATTTACACATATAATATCTTTATGAAAATTCTGCTATTTAGACTAGTATTATCATTATACCATAAAATTCATGATTTTTGGTAACTTGTCACCTTCTCAGTCCACATTAAGTGCACTCTACTGTGTTTGGGAAACATTGATAGGGAAATTGGGTTATATGTTGGAATAAAGTAGAGATTTTAACCATAAAATATAATGGAAAAAGTCATGTTTATTTACAAGATTTTGATTTAGGAAATATTTTCAAAAATGAAATATGCTTGAAAATCATGCTCATTCTGTGAATTTTACAAGCCATAGCATGTGTGAAAACTAAACAGACAATTGTACAAAATTCTGCCATCAAGAAAATCTATAGGACATCAATAGAAACTTTAGGTTATTTGCTTTTTAAAAGTATCAGAACAAATACACAGTACCATGCTCAATAAAAAAAAATTATCATCAGATTTTAATTAATACTATGTTTATATTATTACAATGAATAATTTTTATTATTTTAAAAAAGTTGTCAATTATGACAATGTTTTTTTACTTATGAAGTAACAAAATGAAAAAATTATTTAACTTTTTTCAAAGTTCATTATTAAAAGTAATTCTTTAGCAAATAGATTCAGATTAAAATGTTACATGATGATAGTTTTTTATTAATAAAACAAAAAAATATTTAGGATTTCATTTAGACTATTCACAAAAATATAATATTTTCAAGTCTATCTTTTAATCCTTTAATCCAACCACAGAAGTAATAGTTACAATGGTTGGATTAAAGGATTAAAAGATAGACTTGAAAATATTATATTTTTTGTGAATAGTCTAAACTTCAAATATATGAAGAAAATATCCTGAGTTAACATAAAAATTGTAAATTATAACATTGTTAACTAGAATATGATATAATATGAAATAAAAATTTTATACTGAAGAATGTTGACATAAATTAATTACTAGAAATAACTGAAACTATAAATTCAAAGATTTTTCAGAAAAATACAAAAACTCTATATTACTGTTAAGAAAAACAAATTTAATTTAACTTGTAGCTGTTAATTGTAGCTACAAGTATTTTGTACAAGTACTTTTACAAGTAATTGTAGTACAATTTATTTGTGTGCTATACAAAAATAACATATTTAGTTTATATGTTATTTTTGTATAGCACACAAATAAATAGCTGATAAGACACAGGATAAACAGTCTAGGTTTAATTACTATCATAAAACAAGTAAATGGTCAAAATACTTGATATCTCAAGAAGCACCAATGCCAAAATCCAAGGTCTTAATTCATAATTAAGTTTGCAAATCATTTCTGTTAAAGAATACTTTCCATCATTATAAACAAAAAGTGCAAATGTAATATAACTTATTTAACTGTGAAAACATCATTCAATATTCACCTAAAATATATTCAATCTTTGTTTATAATATCTTATCATAACCTTTCAAAGAAAACAATATAGCAGTGTTTTTCAACCTTCTTGAATATGTGACCCCTTTACAAGTTAAAAAATTTTGGCGACCCCCCCCATGGCCATATTAAAACTATGTCAGTGATTTTAAAAACTACATATTTAATTTTCTTTCTGTTGAGATTTAAATATCGATCAAAAAATTAATTGCACTGTAAAATAAACATGCACAGCCTTCTCACTGAAATTATAGCTTTTTTATTGTAGTGTAGGACCTACAAACACTTGTCTTTTTCTTTTACCCGCGACCCCCCGTGCATGGCTTTGTGACCCACCTGGGGGTTGCGACCCACAGGTTGAAAAACACTGCAATATAGCATTAGTATAAATGTATCTTATTAAGATCTTAAATTTTCAAAATTTTCCAACTCCAATAATAATTTGACATTGACAATGGAAAAATTTTTTAAATATTTAATAAAAAAGTTTGGGTAACATTTAAATTAGATCTCAATAAGGTACATTCTCTATGATTCCTTTTTTAAACAAAAATAAATGCATAAATTCTTGTATATATCAATATAAGTTACAAAGTAAAATGAAACGATAGCGGCAATGAAACAAAACTTCAAAAAATTTGCCAACAAAAGAGGAAAATAATTTTTCTTTAAAGTCAATTTCTAATATGATTAACAAATAACATACAATACAACATAAGCAGAAATCAAATTAAGTACAGTTGTAAGCTTCTTGCCTCTAACGAATTACAGTAATACCCCAAACTTACGCGATAGGTGGGACTGAGCAATAACTGCTTAAGTCGAATTCGCATAAGTCGGGGTATAATTTCACAATTTGTGTAAAATCCAAGTCGGATATATGTCAGCTAATAAATGTTCTTGTTAATCTTATCTCGTCTTTTGATTTGTTCACGGTTACAAGAAATCACCACATAGAGTCTCTCAAGTCTCCATAGATATAACAAACACAGAAATAAATAACACAAAATAAATTGTAGCTGTGTGTCGATTCCGCGCGACACGTCCGAACACATAAGCTGAACAATAGTGTGGGGGAAATGAGTAATCAAGAGTTGCGTGGCGCTCAAACAAAAGACGAATCGACGAGATTTGAAAATCGCGTAAGTCAAGGTATTACCGTATATAATTATCTCAAATCATCAATTGGTGGAGACATACAAGGCTTATAAAACAGCATTGGAGCATAATTTTATTTGTGGGATGCATTTTAACCAAGACCGAAATCATCCCACGAATAAAATTAGTCTCTTATTGACGCGATCTGGAATTTCTAACGCTCCGATGCAGTTTTATAAGCCTTGTATATCTTCACCGATCGACAGTTCAAAACAATTACGTAACAAATTAAGTACACTTCCACTAAATATATTTTTTAATTTGCCAGTAATTAACAAAAAACAAAAAATGTAGCTCTTCTTAAATATTTTTATTTTATTAAAATAACTATTAAACATAAATCCAATATTTTCTTTAGTAATAATAATAATAATAGAATCTTACTGTCCTAAAAACTTTGCATTGTTATACAAAAAAATAAAAAAAAATTAAATGTTATCTAAATGTCATTAAATAAAAATGTGTGACAAACAATTATAAAATAAAGAATTTAATCCTTTTACTTATAATCAATTATCATCATCAATTGCAAAATAAGATTACACAAACACAAAAGAAGAAAATTACAACTAAACTATTGATACTCTGACTTATTAATAAGCAAAAATTTTCGGTTAAACAATAATTATTATTATAAAGTATGTCGTCGACTTTATGTAATACGATCGTTTTTAAAAAAATATTTAAACAAACACTTACATCCAAATCGAATTCCAGATCAGCATCCATAGTGGAAACACGTACATGGATAACTTTTCCAGATTTTTTGGCTCTTTTAAATGGCATGACGAACTTTTTTAAAGTTCAATTATGATGCGAGCGACGAGATTTTTAAAACTTTTAACTTCCGTCCTCGACCATCACCACTAATTCAATTTACCTGTTATAAACATACACGTGTATTATTACTAACGAATTAATTAAATTATTAATAAATATTCGAGAATAACATTTTATGCACTTACAATAGAGTTAAGTATAGCTGCCACTTGCCACACTAACACATCGTCTGGGATGCACACGATTTTAGTTGGCATTTTACGTCGATTTCTTGTCAATTTATAAATAAAATGTACGATAAACACCGGCTAAAATATTCGTAAATAAAATCATGCAATATCGCTTAAATAATGATAAAATGGATTATCAGCATACTCGTACAAAACTTTTCCTGTTAACTTTTTCTTTCTCCGATGTTTTCGCCAGAGGGCGAAAATAACGTTTTCACTTTTATCAATTATAATAATTTCTGACGTAGTCAATTGGTTAATTTAATTATTTTTAAAAGAATTCGTAATTTATATAATAAAATTAATGATGTATAACTATTTAGATTAAATAATACGTAAAATTTAAATTAAAATATTTCTTATATTTTTATAATGAATAAATGGTGGTATTTATAGTATGTTCGGAATGTAGAGATGAAATGTATCGGAATTTTAGAATCCGGAATCGAATTCCATTCCCCTCTTTAAATTTATCTGGGATTTTATCTAATTTATCAAAGATTCGTAAACATTTTAAACAATTAAACTTTTAACTGTTAAGATTTTTACGATTCTTTGTTAAATTTTATAATAAACATTTCGTTTATAGGCTACTGATTGACTGGATTTTATACATATTATTTATAAACTTCAACATTTATTTACTTAAATTGCATTGTAAATTGAAATTTACCGAGTAAAATTTTGTATTTGTTAATTTTATTTAAAATTTTTATGGTTTGGCGGGTGGCAGCTTGTATGACCGGGATCAATTTCCTTCATTTCGGAGATGAAAACTGGGTCCAACCGGCACAAAAATTAATGAATGACGTCCTGATCTCCAGCATAGATGATAAATTATGTCCGGATTGAATTCTAATTAAGATAATATTAATGTCTTTCCGTGCTACCTTCGAGCCAAATAATTAACCATTTCAAAATTTAATTGACTAGCTAACACCATGGCTATTATATCTTCAGCTTTATGGCTAGTCACAATTATGCAATTATGAATGAACCCGACAAGACGAATGAAAGAAGGAAACAATGGATACATTCCAGTTAGCATCAAACAGTGCATCGGTGAAGCGCGGTCTTGGGCTCTTGTTATTTGAAATAATTCTTATACAGTGTACCCTGTATTTTGAACGCTAAATTTGAGAAATCGCTATCGGAATTCGAACGATGGTTCAAAATTCAGTGAAAAAAATGCATTCGAAGCGTAAACGCCATTGTTTTGAGTTGTCTCTCGATCTCGCGTTTTCTATTCTTTTTTCGCTTTATTTTTGATGTTTGGTTATATATATTGCGTGCTATTTGTCGGTTTTTAACAGTTCCTTCTTTTTCATCGTCCACAGCTTTTGAGCACCCCTCACATTGTACAGTAATACCCCGGACTTACACGATAGGTGGGACAGAGCGATAACTGCTTAAGTCAAATTCTCGTAAGTCGGGGTATAATTTCGCAATTTGTGTAAAATCCAAGTCGGATATATGTAAGCTAATAAATGTTCTCGTTAATCTTATCTCTTCTTTTGATTCGTTCCCGGTTACAAGAAATCACCACATAGTCTCTCAAGTCTCCGTAGATATAACAAACACAGAAATAAATAACACAAAATAAATTATAGCTGTGTCGATTCCGCGCGACACGTCCGAACATGCAAGATAAACAAATAGTGTGGGGGGAATGAGTAATCAAGAGTTGCGTGGAGCTCAAACAAAAGACGAATCGACGAGATTTGAAAATCGCGTAACTCCGGGTTCACGTAAGTCGGGGTAACGTAAGTCGAGGTATTACTATATATCCTTTAGTTCCAAATTTCCCGAACAGAACTTTTTAATCACATTTCACACGTTCGAAGTTTAGGAGCATCTTCCTCGTAATATAAACGATAATACAGTAGGCCTATATTACATATACTGTATTATCGTTTTGTATGGCGTTGTATCCTTTCCGAAGACATTTCGACTCGATTTTACTTATACAAAAACTTCCTGTTCCATCCAATATAACCTTTACATATTCCATAAGTGTGTGGAAGCAACGAAGTGTAAGAGGAAGATTGTGATATCGGTGATTGACATGAAAAAGGAACTCATTGCCAAGCGTGAAAGCGTTACGCCTGTGGCGGATCTGGCGACCGTGTTTAAGATACCGGAGTCGACGATGTGCGACCGCTAAATCCAATTTTCATTTTATTATACTGTAATTACATATTTTATTATTTCCGTATTTTAATTTATTATTGGGGCATTTAATTGTGTTATTTTTTTTTTTACCTTAAATTATGTGTATTTGTCGTTTTATGTTTATCGAAATGGGTATCTTTTAGAGTGGGAACGGTGATCGCTTTTCGTTATTTTTAATAGGAAAAAAATTGATTCGGAGTTCGAACGGCCCGGTGGAATGAATTAAATTTGAAGTACGAGGCACTACTTTTTTTTTTTTTTTTTTTACTCTTTCCGCCCTGTGGGCACTAAGAGGGCCTCACTTTGCAAGCCCATTATGGGTTCGGCCAGGCCCACAATGGGGCTGCCGGGTGGTGAGGGACGGGGCCCGACATATCCGAACGAACCACCCTCTCGAAAAATTCCTGGGGATTATTTGATCCGTCTGGATCAAATAATCCCCAGGAATCCCGGATCCCCCAGAGCGGTAAGCTGCCACTTAACCGCTCGGTGTTATGTGTTATATCGCGATAGGGGTCGGACTTAAAATGTTATTCATTATTAGCATTTACACTTTTTTATGAAACTCATCACTATCCTCAAAATCAAGTTTTTTTGCCATTTTATAATAGTTAAAAATATAAGTTTTTAAACAAAATATCATAACAGATGACATCACCAAATGTAACTGGGAAAGTCAAGCAACTCGTTGCTGGGATTTTTAAAACTCATCTTGAAGTCCAATTCCCTCTCTTTCCTCTATCAGCCCATATCTGAATTCTAAAAACTGAATCATCTACTGACTGAATCCACAACACTAGTCGGTTTCTAACCTTTTCTGGCTCAAGTTTAATCTCTCTCTATTGCATTAATAAATAAATACAATATCAACTGTAAATAGTATATACTATAGCTCCTTTCTCACTGCATCATTCATTAATTCCCTTAATATCAATAGAAAAAAAAAGGTATCGGCTTAACCTTGACCAACTCCAAAGCTAAATTTTTTTGTCACGCTTGAATCTATCCTATCCTAACACTTGGTTCAATATTTCTATACATTTTCATAATTAAATTTATAATTCTCATCAACCCCTTTTCTTCCTGGCTCAGAGTTTTTGGGAATCCTGAAAATGTTCCATTAGTAATATACAGGTCTAATTTTTTTCTCAAACCTGTATTGATCCAGGTTTCTAGCAGTCCACAGTATATTTTAGATACATAGACAGTGTATAATTAGTGGGTTAGAGATTTGTTGAACTGTTACTACATTTTGATCAGTTGGTCTGAAAAATGATTAATCCAGCAAGGTTTTGAAACCAAGGGTGCTGAAAATTTGCTGACATACCTGTATATTATTCGATTTCAATAAGTAAATTGTTTTGTATCTGATTATTAATTAATCTTAATATTTATTAGCCTGATAAGTAATCTGGCAAATTGTTTGATAATTAAGTAAATAATTTGCCTTCTGATAATTTCACATCTTTTAAGAACTCTTAATAGAATATTTTATTAGGAATTCAGTTTTTTCTAGTTTATGGAATAATCTTACAATGATTTTTGACTTTGTTTCATGTTTTATAATTTAGATCTGAATACTCTACAATAATCAGTTATCCATTCTACATTTTTCGTTTTAAATTCAAACATTTGATCATCATATAGTTTTGAAAAAGTCACAATCTACTTTTCTAAAATTTCAACATATATAGATATTTATATGCAAGATATAAAATTTAATGTAATAAATATTTAACTATTAATTTAATTATATTAAATTTAAACCAAGAAAATTTACTACATTTTTTTTACAGAACATTTTTTTTGAGTTAAACTAAAGAAAGAACATAATCTTGAAAGCATCTTACAAAAATAAAACTGAATTCCTAATGTAATATTTACTTAAATTAATTACATAAAATAAAGAAATCTGAGAAATGTGTATTCGAAATAATAATTATGATTAAACTTAACATAATTATCAGCTCCAATTTAATTGATTTTCATACATAAAATGCAATCCATAAATACTGTATATAAAATTTTATATAAGAATTTAGAATATATAATTTCAATTTTGAGAGTAATTCTGTCATTTATAACAGCTCATAAGAAAAGTATATGAAAGTAATTGAATAACTCTCATAATTTATATTGAGTTTCTTGATCTTAATAATTATATAAGTTTAAATACAGGTATACCTTGATTAATGTGGTTAATTAATCCCTTGATGCTACAGCAAATATCAAAATTGCATTAATCGAATACAATAACTATGTTAAGCAAAGACATCTGGTAAAGCTGCATTAATTAAAATTTCTGCTGCCTACATAAAGGGATTGCTGCAATCAATTTCACACATTAATCAAATCCCTTGTCAGGAGCTTTTTACATGAGGCAGTAAAGAAAAAGCTTTACTGCCTCATGTAGAAAGCTCCTGACAAGGGTTATCAGAGATAAATGGAGAACAATTGCTGGGTTTGAACAAAATGTATACCTTGCACACCTAGCCTTTGTTAGGTGTGTGAACTAATACCCTCTATGAACAGTTTGATAAAATTTGTTTTATCGCTGACCAAATTATCTTCCAACTGAAATGAAGTTAGATAAAAAGTTCCAATGTTTTTACAGAAAAAAGGATGCAATTGCAAAGCTCCAGTCCTATTATAATTATTCTGATGAAGTTGTTCTGGAGGCAGTACACCATTTACTACAGCACTGCTGCAAGTTTAATCAAATCCAGTGTTAAGCATAGTATATCATTTGATATAAATACAGTATTCATTCCTCTCTCTATATTTCATTATGAAAAATTTCAATGTTGAATACAAATTATTTGTCAAAAATATGGCAAACAATAAAGAGATTAGTAATTAAAATATATAATTTCATTCTTATTAAATTATTGAATGGAATACATTAGAATAATTAAAAATATTTGAATACAATTTTTTTCTAATTTATTATTTGGAAAATACAATTACATTGGAAATGCTAAAGTCTATATTAAGTGTTGTAAAATTTGAGTATTGTTTTTGCAGAGTTAATATATCTTAGATATATCGGAATAATTCATATGATTCAATTAATTCAAAATATTTATAAATTTACTTTCTCATGGAAGAATAACTCTTTACCATATGTCAACATATAATTATGATTTGTATTAAATGTATATACAGCAGACTTGCTAATCCAGCCATTTCTTACACAGAGGGAGGCCAGATTACTGAGAATGCATAGGCCTAAAGGCAATGAATGAGTGACCTATTGCCTCTCAATTCTGAATCTTCTGGAGGCAGGCAGACAAGTAATATGCACAAAGACATGCAATACTGTGCAAATAAAACTTAGTAAAAAAAAAAATGTGACATGACTAACATTTTCATGGAAATGGAAGTAGACAATCACACTGGAGATGTGCCAGATAATTGCAATGCCAGATTAGCAAGAGTCTACTGTGCAAAATTTAGTTATTATTAAAAAACAATCAATGCTTTAACAAAACACTAAATGAAGCAACATAATGTTTTTCATTACAAAGAACGTGCTCAGCAAAATAATAATTAATAACCAAACACCTTTATTGTTGCCGAGAAAATTTAATTAAAACAAACATTTTCGACCTATTCCATAGGCTATGGAATAGGTCAAAAACGTTTGTTTTAATTAAATTTTCTTGGCAACGATAAAGGTGTTTGGTTATTAATCTATACTAATATAATAAAGAGGTAATGTTTGTATGTATGTATGTAAGTTTGGATGCAGCAGGTAATCTCCAAAACTACTCATCCGATTTCAAAAATTTTTTCACCAATATTTAGAATGGAACTTCAGGATGGACATAGGCTGTATATTATTCCGTTAAACATGGGGGATGGACAGTTCTTTACGGTAAGCCTTACGGGGAAGGCTTACCGTAAAGAACTCTGCTTCTATTTATACTATTTTAGATGCGGTTTTTTGCGTTTTTGATTGCATTTTAATAGAGTACGTCAACAGAATGTACACTAAGAAGGGATTTTTCGATATTCCCCCCGGGGGGGAGAGAGACAGGATTAAGGCTTACTCTGAAAAACTTGGCTTCTATTATACTATTTTAGATGCGGGTTTTTGCGCTTTTGATTGCGTTTTAATAGGGTACGTCAAGAGAATGTACACTAAAAAAAAATTTTTCGAAAAATTTTCCCCCACAGGGGAAGTGTTATACATTTATAATAGATACATTTTGAGCCACAACAAGGCGTGGCGGGGTCTGCTAGTTAGTAATGTTTTTCTTTGTCAAAAACACAAAAACATTATTTTTGATTTATTTAATCTCAATAGAGATTTTAGTAAATGTGTGTATAGGCTTACATTTTAATTTTACATTGAATATAAAAATAATTTACCTTCCCATCATTTTTGAATAAAAAAAATCCATTTTGTTTATCCTTGTTCAAATTATAGGAACTGTTCTACTTTCAGCACTGGGGTGAAATCAACATTACACTATCTGGAACCTGTGACCAGTGCTCCACGTTTGTCAAGCGATATACTATATATACGCATAGAGCACTGGTCACAGGTTCCTTGTTCAAATTTTAACTAAGCAAATACCAAAATAATAGAGCTTCAATATACCATATTTATGTATAAGACGAGATTTTTATTCATTTTTCACCGCTTCAAAACCTTGGTCGTCCTATATGCACGCAAGCAAAGGATTCTTTGCGTTTTTGCAATAATTTTTCTGATCCATGTATTTGCATTTTTTTACTGGATGCTCATCCTCTTGTTTAAAAACAAAAGTATTTTATCTGGGTCGTTTGAATCGATCTTGTGTATTATCAAGATAAATAGCAAATAGGAAAAACAAAGCTTTTAAATTGAATTCCAAATTGAAATTATAAAATTACATGGGAGCCTGATATAAGTTTTAATTTATTCACATGTGAAAACAAATTGTAACGCACTGTTTACGAAACAAAAAAGGGTTACACAATGGTAGGGTTCAAGTACCAGGCCTGGACTTTCCAAAATAAAAATAACCAATAATTTTCACAATCACATATAATAATTCACAATAAATATAAGATTTATTATCTTGACAAAAATAAACAATAATGGGTTAATTGTCCCAACAGTAAGTTAAATAATCGAACACTAGAAAAGTTGCAACAAAAATCAATAATCAAAGACAATAATACTTGTAATATCCAACTCAACAAAACTTTTATCTCCACCTCAAAAGGATTCTACAGCAAAAAGATACGGTTTCCTCTAATTGATCCCAGACGTTTCTACCACAGTTGTCACCTGAAAACTAACTCTGTCGTGGATGTGCCGCCTTTTATTCTACATTGAGTGCAGCTCCGCACTGCCTTAATTTACATAAGATGTCGTTCCAGGATCAGGCACCAATGCAAACTAAGTTTGCTTTTTCTTTTATGGTCACTGGTGCTTAGGAGTTTGTCCTTAACAAAAAAAGAACCCCAAAAAGAAAATAATTAAATAAAAATAACGCCCCAAAACAAAATAACAATCGGACATTGACTCCTTTACAAAATGATTATTCGGAAATCAGAATTCGAAGAAACTCATAAGTGTAATCGACGGAGAGTGGATTTGACTGTTAATTATTGGCATAAAAGGTTTACATGAAGAAATTATGTTGTCGATTTTACAAGATTTTTCCTTAAAGTTTAAAATGCCAGTAATCTTTGCAGAACAATGTGTGCATTTACATATGCATTTGATATTTTATTTGTGACTAAATAAAATAAAATTAGAACTGTATTTATAAACCTAATTTTCTTTATTTTGATGTTTAAAGTCACACCTCGTCCTATATGCAAGATTGTCTTATACTCAAGTAAATATGGTAAATTGAAACTCTATTATTTTAGTATTTGCTTTTCACTATTATTATTTCACTCCTTCTGCCGTATGGGCACTACAAGTTTTTTTCTTTAATCACGGGTTTAGCCAGGCCCACAACAGAGTCAGCTAGATAGCGAGGGACAAGGCCCAACACATCCGAGAGAGACTGTCCATTAAAAACATCATTTTCAACCCAGATCAAAGCCAGGTTCTCCAAATCGGTAGGGTAGAAGTCTAACATATTATCATTTTTTCTTTTGCTTTGATTCACTGTTCATCATTCTAAATCTTCTCCAGGTTTTTATTTATAACAATAAATTGTTTTTTCGAAATAACAATGTTGAGTAAAATCCACTACTTTTACTTCCAACCATCAGTATGAAAGATTACATTTAAAACAGGAAAAATTTTAACTCGTATGGAGAATAAAGTGAGGCGATAGATATACCGGGCAGTATGGATATACAAAACGACTTCCAACAACTTAACATTTCGTTGAGTAATAATAATCCATGAAAACCTTTCTGTACAAGTGTTATGTTCTTAACTACTTCACAAACGCTTTCGACTTCCACCGAGGTCTGCTTCAGGTGGAGGTCAAAAGCGTTTGTGGAATAGTTAAGAACATAACACTTGTATAGAAAGGTTTTCGTGGATTAGTATGGATATAACATTAGTTTTGTATCACTGTATGCTTGATGTCACATTGTTTATCTTATCAAGAACTTTCGGTCATTTCACACGTTTATTAACCAAGATACATTTTAATTTGTGAGCAGTAAAAGTAATAAGTCAACAGAAATTCTCTTCTTTCAGTTCTGATGAAGAGCTTTGGAAACTTCAAGCCAGTCCATCATTCTCATTAAACCGTCATCTTTCGAAGGTGTTTTATCCCAATTCCAATAAGTAAATTTCTCAAACTTCTTAACGGCGCACAATTCGTCTTTTTTATTTTCTACCACAATTCCAACATAATCTGAAGTCAAAGCCACATCTTTTCCCATTAACGGGCGACCTCTGAAAGAACACTTTTTATACTCGCCTATCTCGTCCACGGTCGAAGTAAAATAAGTAGAAACGGCTGCGTGGCCGGAACTTTTTATTTTACAAGGTAATAAATGGCAATCGGCTATTTCAACTTCCGATAAATTTACGTTTAATTTCTCCGCCATTTTTAAGCGAGTGCGAAATTTCGACGCTAGAGGCGCTCTTCTGACTAATTTTTCTGTATATTTCTTATTTCGAATTAGGAGTGCAGCGATATAAATGTGATAGAATTTAAATATCAATTGTTATTACCGTATAATAAATTTCTCAATTTGGAATCAATATTTTGAAGAAAGGATTAAAAAAGAGAATCTATCGGATGATCGAATTCTCTCTCGTTGTATTAATAATAGGGGTCCGGGTTCGAAATCCGACCAAAACTTTCGAAATTCAATAGAAAATTCTTATTAATACTTTGTTCCTTTCGCCGTGAGTTTCTGCCTTGCGTTAACAATTTAATTTAATCCACCTGACATTAAACTGGATAAATCAAGTGAATAATTCGCCGTAAAAGAGTACCGATTAAATCTAAACAAAAATATTCCAGAGATCGACCGCATTTTTCGATATAAGAATTATCAAAAGTGGACAATTAGATAATTTAGACAAAGAATGTCAAACAGGCACGACTTTAACAATAAATAAACAATTGAAAGCTGAAGCATCTAAAAGAAGTATTAACAGAATAGCTGGAACTGAAAAATTGTTATACTGTATATAAACTGTGGTCTTCCTTTACATTATATACAAAATTTTATATCTTATTTTTCTCTGATATTTACAGTATATTAATTGTAATACTTTATATCCCAATTTCTTACTATTAATTGTTCAAAATTTTTGATTTGTCACATCCAGTAAAAAGCTTTGTTGTTTAAATTTCGGTTTTTCTAAATCGGCGAGTGCATTTTTGTAAACGAAAGCCGAAATATAGAACATACGCCGGGAATAACTGTTATTATATGAATGTTGATTGGTTTTTGTCAAAAATTAGACAATACATTATTCTTGTTTTATGTACTACTAGAGATACATCATTATATTATCGATCTGTTTTATGTTCTTGTACAGTAACTATTGTTTCTGACTTGAAAGTTTTGCAAAATTACTATACTATTGGCAATACACCCAACTTTTAATGGCACTTTTCTAGTTTTTTATTGAATGTGCCTTGTAATATACATAGGCTATTTATCTAAATTCAATCTTAGAGCATGCAACATTTTAGTGCATGTGTCATTTCCACTCATGGGGCAGAGTGGAAAAGGGCAAACTGAAAATTTTTTCACTTTACCCTAGCTTGTTTCTGCTTATTAACAAGGCTATTATTATAAGCAAATACTCAGCTCAGAAACAAGTTTTCCAGTGTGTAAGTTGAAATTTATTTTGTGACAATGCACCAATATTAATAATTAGGTAAGTTTGTGTATAAACAGGTAGGACTACAGTAGAGCATCAATTATCCGAATACCGATCAACAGAAACATCAGTTAACCAAAAGCATTCCAGTCGGCAAATTCAAATTTCTGCTAGGGCTGTGGCGTTGCAGCACTCTTCCCCTCCCTGCCAAACTGGACTGTAGGCCTAGTTTAATGTATTACATTATGTAAGGTATATATTTGTGAGACAAGTGATACAAATTATATACAGTACAGTTTTGTGTTTAATATATTTTTTTTGTAAATGATCAGTTCTCTGAACAACCCGTCCTGAATTGTTTTGGATAATCGATGCTCTACTGTATTTCAATAGTTTATTTTTAGATTTAGTATATGTCTCTTCAATCCGAATGATTAAAAAACGGTAGACTTTCTTTCAGCTTTGAGGTTAAGTATTCCTTTATTGTAAATTACATATGCATTTCAGGCTTGTATGAGCCCCTCTTCAGTGTAAATTCTCAGATGGTTGAGCAACACTTTTCTAAAAAATTTTATGACATCAACAATGACATTATTTCAAACGAAACACATGAATAACATTCGTATATGGGTATAATTCACAAACCTGTTCTTTTTATCCATTTTGTCATTAAATTTTCTTCACAAAATCTGGTATAATAGCTGATAAATACTTAGATTTAGTATATGTCTCTTCAATCCAAATGATTAAAAAACTGAAATGAATCTTTAATCATTTGGATTGAAGAGACATATACTAAATCTAAGTATTTATCAGCTATTATACCAGATTTTGTGGAGTTTATTTTTATTTTTTTGTTTGTTTGAGTAGTGTCCCATTAGCCACTGGTGCAAGGTGGCTAATGGGACATCATATTTTCATGCCTATGTCCATGTCTCCACAAGTTATTAACCAATTCCCAAGGCAGGTATGCAGGAGGAGACATCCGATTGAAAGTGACAGGGAGGAAAAATTATCATCCTAACAAGTAGTCCCTGCGAAACGTACCACCTCCCACCCAGCAGACAACTTCAGAATATGAGCACTCCGTTGATCTGTCGATGATCGAACCACTGCAATGATTCTACTGATACAGAAGATTTTACTAACACATCAGAGATCATGAACCATATCTTGCTGGAAATATCAAAATAGAATCAGTGAAATTGAGGGATGTCAAGCCAGGAGACTACATGATCATGCACATGAAAGATTATAAGAAAATGCTAAGAAATTCATTGCAATAGTTCTTCCAGAGGACAAGTCTGACAATGAATCAGGCACCAGAGATATTGTTTGTATTAACTTTATGCGAGAATATACTGTAAAAATAAAGCACTGGCAACATGTTTGTATTTCCTGAAGTAGATGATGCCAATGATATATGAAAATGAAATTGTCAACAGGTTGATACAGGTGTCATTCCTGGGTCATGTTAAGGAAATGTTCCAATAAAATGAAGCCTCTACTTAGATAAAAATAAATTATGTTATTCAGAAAAGAATTTGATATAGTTTTCTCTTTGCCCCAATATGATTTTCACTATGTCCCTCTATATGGGGCATAATGAAAAAACAAAGACCTATAGAAAGTTGCCTGTTACACTCATCTCCTATGTCCATTTCAGTAATCACCTTATATGTAGAGATACTAACTCATGAAGTAACTATAGCATTTCTGCTTTGCCCCAACTTCCCTACATTGCCTCCTTATTGTCTAAATCAGTGGTTACCAAAGTGGGTGCTACTGCTTCTGGGAGCAGTGAATAAATCTAGGGGGCAAAAAAAAGCAAGGGATGCTGGAGGCAGGTCCTGACAATCCTTTTTTTTCCCTCAGTTAAAAGGAGTAAGAAGAAACATTGAGCTTAATGGTTTCTTGATATGGGGAACAATGTACAATAAGGACAGTGTGAGATTTGTAAAAAAGCTTTTCTAAAAATATTTCCAAGCCTTTCTCACAAGGAAAAATGAATTGGGGACATTGGGTATAAGTTTATGGAACCAAGGGGAACATGAAACTCAAAAAAGTTTGGGAATCACTGGTCTAAATGTTACTTATGTAAATGAATATAGACTACATTTTTATTAAAAATTTTGAAAGAACATGCAAAGATTAATTTTTTTCAACAATTTAAGCATGACTACAGAAGAGGGTCATATGAAGGGGATAATCTGTGCAAAATGTCATGTTCTGTCTCCTACATTACACTTCTGAAGATAATGCTTTTATTTTGCAACTGAGATATTATGGAAAACACTGCTATAACTTACTAGAAATGTTGCAATCTTATAGGAGCAATTTGGATGTAATTCCATAATTTCTACTTTATCATTTTATGAAGTATAGATGCTATAAAGCTTTAAAAAGAGTTGAGTTTCGTTGAATGTCTGATGAGGTCAAGGTGGTCAAGAGTTGGGTCAAGTGTCCTCATCAGATCTTTTATATTAAATCCTTTATATTAAACTTTTTTATATTCATCCCCTTTAAATTTTGGCCAGACATTTTCCGATCAACCTGTATACATAAAACAAATCTTTATTAGGCAAAACATATGCAACATGTATACAATATAATAATATATTAATACAACATGCATATGTTGTATATTATTATATTGTTTTAATTAAAGTAAATGTACAAGGGAGTTACAGGAATAAGAAAAAAATAAATAAATCACTGGAACTTCAATACATTTAATGTACAGTAATTTCTTCAATTTGGAAATATTTAGATAAACCAGTTTCTTTCAGTGATTGCACAATTTTCTTCAATTCATCTTGTACAGATTCTGTCAACTTCAAATGATTTTTCTCTAAAGTTTTGATTTTTTGATCCATTCATGGTACTTTTTTTGAATTTATTTCAAAAATATTGTTGTCTACTTATCAGAGAGATGTACAGTACAGTACAAATTAAAGATGTTAATTAATTGATTTTGATAATGATATAAGATCAAAAGACTACATTTGGTCAATCAAACTACCAAAATGATTACTATTGGCAATGAGTTTCAGAGATCTCCTAAAAAGACAACAGAAATTTCTGATGTTGTAATTAATACCTTTAGATCCTTTTGTTACATGTATAAACAATACTTGAAATTTGCAGACAACACACAAGTTTGCATTTAAGTGAAAATGTTATAAAAAAGAAAATGTTTTGTCTAATTTTCTGTCACTGAAATGCCAAATTCTACTGATACATCAAATCCCAGAACTGACTGAAATTGTGTCATTAATGACATCACATCAGGCATCTCCTTAATCATCAGTGCACTTAGTTTTACTTTCCTTGCAATTATAACATTGCAAAGTATTGCAACTGTGCCTAATTTGACCTTTTGGGTTTTTACAGATCTCAATGTTGTTATATCTGCTGAACTTAGTGAAAAAAAAAATGAAAATTCTTTGTGTGTGTTTGTTTTAATACCTATTTTATTTAATATTAGGATGGGGTAAAGACTAACAAACAAAATTTGGCACAGTAACTTGTATGTAAGAACTCCATATCTTTCAATAGCTTCATAATATTTTCCATGGCTTTCATTCTGCAATCATTTTCAATGTAAATTTACTCTTAATTCTATAATGACATCATTTATTTGAAAGAGTTACATCATATAAATGAAAAAAAATAAAGAAAAGGAACAATGTAATTTGAATACATAATGGCATTTCATATATCGAATTGTGTAAACACTAATTTTTATATATTATTCTTTGCACCTATTCAATGTTGTGAAATCCGGAATTTTGGTGACGAAATTATCGCTCTTTTATTAACAAAATTGTTAATTAATTAAACTTTCGTTTATGTAACGCCCTAGTAGAAAAAACGATCTTGCCCGGGATTGTGTAAACTTTCCAGTCATAAGTAGCAACATCTATTGTTCTCTGCAGAACTTGCATCTCATCTTGCAAAAAGGCTGATAGTTAGCATCTAAATGTCGTCATTTGTTGTAGATCCTAGGAACACCTATAACCCCTAACCTATGTACATGCGATCATGTGGTGGAAATTCCCCACTAAGACGGATAAAAGGCTGTTCTTACCCCCTCTCAGGGGAGTTTATGAACGAACGCAGGATTAACGACATCGTGCCGATTTTCCGAACCCACGGAATTCCGATCTCCGATGAACCTCAAATTAAATCATCGCTAAAGTTGCGATATATATGATTTGTGCCAA